CACAAAGCTGATCTCCTGTCCATAATGGATAGGATAACAAATCCCCAATCAAGTAGTATTTTTTTCACTAACAAAAAAATTATTTGACCCGTTGTCACTTCAGTGGGTGGGCAAAATAACTCCTGCCCCGGGACATGAGATCAATTCTAATTTAGCACATATTAGAATGATTTATGTCATTTAATTTGATAACATAATTATAATGAAATATTGAGGATTAACTTCCTTCTCTTGAAAAGTTGGTACACTTGCCATTGAAAAATCCGATACTACAAATTTCTCTAATTGTTTTCATTTCATGAATGAAAAAATACAAGTTTGAAAATTTAATTTAAATTTGAATGTTTTTCTCTCGCGAATAACAGAAAGCAGGCATCAATAAATGTCCACACACATTTATTGGTAACACAACTTTTACTCTCACTAAATTTAAAATGCACTCAAGGTCTCCAAACTTTTCTTCTTGTATCCCTTATGTTCCTTTTTTTTTTTTTGCCGAAACGTTATCTTCAAATTTTCATTAGTTAACATATCTCATCGTTGATAACAATATTTGTCAAATATTTCGTTTTTCATGCTTTGACATTAGGAATAAAACTAATTTGACGATATTTTTTTTGTTTTTAAATATTTTTGCTTAATTTTTTTTTTTTTTTTTTTATTCTGGATGTTACTTTGTTTCTTTTACGTGCAAGTTTGGGAAGTTTTATAATTTCGTTATAACTTAATCACCTTAGTACAACATTAATTTTAATCACACATTTTAGAGGGTCCACAATTACTATCTGTTTATCTATTGTTTGTTTTCATTACATTATAATTTTATCAACTTATAATTTTACCCAAACAAACAAAAACAACCTTGTTCCGAAACTTGAAGGGGAACCTAAATGCAAAAAGAAAATAATAATATGGAAACTCAATGGCCAATTACTTCGAACTCTAGGGCCGTGACTGCAATTTTAACTAGGATTTTGTAAGATCATAGTGAACACATCATGTGATGAAATCCACGATAACGATTGGCAGAGAGGATTGTATTACACTAGTCCACAAAGCAATGCAAACTAATTAGGACAGTATATGAATTTGATACTTAGCCTTGAAGTTGAATTGTATATGGTACATACAATAACCATGACATATACGTGATAAACATCTCTAACACACATTTATTATACTAAGACTCCAGTCAAATACAAAAACAAGGTTCTTGATGTCCCCATTTCTTCCTTCAAATTTGTGAACACTCAATTCAATGAGTCATCGCTCTTAGAACCGACGATGAGAAATAAAATAGGATAAATTTGAATGTTTGTATCTTGACATATACCAATAATCATCTTACCTTCATGTTTTACTTTCAAAGATATTCCATTGATGCAAATTAGGTATCGTGTCAAAGAGATAAATTCAAAGTCATGAAGAAGTATTTGAAGCAATTGTTGGCTTTAGTCTCGATAAAGAAAGTCGAGCGTCGATTAGTTCTTTCCATCTTATGGCGATACGAGGCTAGTTTAACATAACTTTTCACATTTGAACCCATTAAACCTCCAAAGTAATTCTTTAGCCTTTCAAACCTTTTGATAGTTCATAACCTACTCGAACTCTTAATAGATGTCATGAATGATGTCTACAGATCTTTAAATGTTTTAGGGTCTTGAAATTTGTGTGTTGCATGTCTTTTAATAAACCACGATCTTTCTTGTTTATGATTATTGCGACGAATATCCAAAAGATAAACTATGTTTGCGTGCATAATGATGAACAACAAAGTAGTCAGATGTGTCAAACTTCATTGTTCGCAAACATTCTTTGCAATTGTCACCTACACAAATAATTGTGTACTTAGCCTTTGTTTGATTCCTATTTTTCTATCAAAATGTATTTTTGAACGGTGATTTAACTCCATTTCAACTACACATTTTTCAATAAAATAATATTACACGCAAATTTAAAACTTTTTCTTACGATACACGTCTAATTACAATGGTTTTGTAGATACACAAAGTACATCAACTCGTTCTCCATTACTCTCGATCCATTTTCATATTCATCGATCTTGGTCATTCCTTACAAACGCAAAAAAAATAACAAACAACGAGAAGTGTCGAATCCATATTCACATTTTAACACAAAATTTAAAATAATTTAGCTAAGCATAGAGACTAACCCAGACCATCTGTTAAAAGACAAATTTTAATAGGTGATCGGTTAATCAACCACCTCTTAACGTACAATCAATATTATTTGTACAAAAAGTCATTAAACTATTCAATAGTAAGTGCCCATTTTTCTAAATACGCTAAATAACCTAACATATCATTTAACAATTATAAACGAAATCCAAACTAGCTATATGATTGAAGTGAAAAACTCTTGCCAACACAAGTCCCTGTTTGGTGGCCATTCTTTTTACGAAAAAGAGTTTTAAATAGTATTTTTAAGAAGAATGTGTGGTTAAAAAATAGAAAAAAAATTTAATTTACGTGCGGAATATTTTATTGTATGAATTAAGGTGTGATAGAAAATGAGTATATAAAAAAAAAAGTATGAAAATCAAATAGGGACAAAATATTGGCTATAACTATTCATGAAATGCTTGCATTGAGTTTTGAAGACAAAATAAGTATAAATAGAATAAAAATTATGACGATTTGATGTTGGATGATATGAAATATATTACTCCATCCGTCCCAATTATATAGGCTTGTTTCGTTTTTCACACGAATTAAGAAAGCTTCTTTAATGTCAT